TGTGACGATGGCACAGGTTTGCCAACCTACTCAGGTCCCACTCGCCACACACAAAGGCTTTCTTTAGCTAAAACCCCATCTTAACTGCATCGAGGCAGAAAAAAAAAAGACTTTTTTTTTTTTTTGCAAATTAATGCCAATTTATGTTACATCCTTTTATCATGGAGACATTTACATATACAAGCAGGGTATGCTTCTTAATTTCAAAAAAAAATACATTTACATATAGCCATGTTCACTGCAGGACTGACTTTTCAAAACAAAAGCAGGACATGATAGGAAATGACATGGAATTGGCAAAGTTTGGAATTTGAGACAGTCGGAAAAATATGTTTGGGGACATTTTTTGTTAACATAGAAAAATGCCCCTTACAAACAGTACAGAAAATAGGGGGTGAGGGGGGAAATCCAAGCTGTACAGACGACGCAGCGTGAGCCCAATTCTGTAAACATACAGGCGCGTCCTCCAGCCCAGGGAGGGCCCCAGTGTTAACGAGGTGCCCACTCGGGCTTAGGACTAGCAATGATGTCTGCTGTATCCTTTGTGCCTCATCTTTTCTGTATTTCCTGTTTTTCACAGTAAACATCTATTACATTCATGATCAAAAAGGAGAAGTTTAGCCCTGGCTGGTGTGGCTCAGTTGGTTGGGCATCATCTTGTGCACCAAAAGGTTGTGGATTTGATTCCCAGTCAGGGCACATGCCGGGGCTGCGAACTCAACCCCCAGGAGGAGGTGTTTCTCTCTCTCTCCCTCTTCCTTCCTCTCTTTCTAAAAAATAATTTAAAAAAAAAATAAGGAAAAGTTCATATGTAAGCATTTTAAGGAAGTTTGTCATTGGAAGAATTCCCTGAAGAAATCATTGTGTAAAACAGATAAACAACACCTAATTCATATGTTTTCCTTAGGATCCTTTGTGTTTCAGAACTCCAGGTTTTCACACACAGAAGCGAGAAGCACGAGCTATGCCTCTGGGAACGCTCGGGCACCTGGCAGGGGGCTCCGTACACGGGCCGACAATAAGGTTGGTTCAAGGAGGTCACGTCGCTGCTGCTTCCTTCAAAAAGGGCCTCGGAGTCTGAATGGCACCTTTATGTGCTGTGGGCATTCAAGCGTGTTGAGCCAAACGAGGACACGGGGAAATGCGAGGAGTACAGAAAAGGGTCTCGGGTGCCGGGATCACAGCTCCGGAGAACAGATGCTCGCGACAGACGCAGGCAGGAAGGGGTCGCTGACATGAAAACAGAGCATCGGTGGGGAGTTATGAATCATTGTTTTATTTTGCTTAATTTCTCTAGCTGTAAATTTTTCAAAACTAATATGAGCATATTTTACAGCTCACAGAACATTTAGAACATATTAAAATAAGTATCTTTCCACTGTAATGTGCCCAATTGAAATTTATGAATTCCAAAGCTACATTTTAAGGAGATGAAGGGACTGGCACTCCACGTTCTTTAGATTAATCAGATGGATTGTGTTGTTTTTCTCCTGATCAGAAAAAAAAAAAAAAAATCGTATCTCAGTAGCTGTTACCTTGAATCAAGGATTCTTCCAGATTCTAGAAGCTTGCAGAGCTGCTTATATTAAGTCCCACTGTGCCCCCTGGTGGAAAGTGGGGTTTGTGCACTTAAAACACAGTCCTTCCCCAAAGGCTGGAAATAAAATCCCAAACAATTTTTTTTAATCTTTACTAATCCACTTAACATGTACAAAACTTTGTGCCAGGTGCCACAGAGAATATAAAAATGAGTCTGGCACAGATCCCATGCTCAAGTAGCTTAAAATCTACACAATGTAGCAGATACGGTTCCATGGCTACACAGGCAGAATGAGACCACCGCATGCTGAGGAAAAGAGAAAATTCCTGGAGAAAGCAAGAACAAGAGCACACAGGAAGTGCCTACTATGTGTCAGATACCACGCTAGGTAATTCATATCCAGTGTCATTTGTTTTTCCAGAAAGGCATGTGTAATTAGCTCCACTTTACATACACGGTGGAAGCTCAGAGAAGTTAAGTAACTTGCCAGAGATCACACAGCCAGTGGCAGAGGGAGCATCCAAAGTGAAGTATTGTGACCTCAGCCTCCAAACTCCTCCCTCCTTCCTGATCCGGTTTGTGTGTGTGTTGCGGGGAGGTGGGGGGGGGGGGCACCCTGGCAGCAGACTTTAACCAAAGGCAAGGGGAAAGGCACCCTAGGGAAGGGAGCAGAGTTGGGGGGGGTGCTCATTGCCTGCTGCACCTACCATCTGCTCTCCACCCAGGACTGGACTGCAGCAAGCCAGGACTCCTACCTGCACCCACAGCCCTGTCCCCACTCCAGACTCAGTGCCCACAAAATACCTCCTATGTCCCCTACATCATATACCAGATCACAAGGTTCCCCAAGATCTACCACCCGCCCACCCTCTGACCTCATCCTGCCCAGGAACCTGAGGGCACAGCACATCTGAGGGCTCAGCCAAGACCTCCCTCACCTAGTCCCCATCTAGTCCCGTCTGTCTTGAAAACTTGTGCATCTTAAAGCAGAGAGAACCCTGGCGAACAGTTTATAAAAGCCCTCATTTTCAGGACACCACAATAAGGAGAGGATCAGGAGTCACTCAGCCATGCTCTGCGCCTGGGGCCACCTCCAAAGCCACTCCTACAGCCTCCTCAGGAGACGAACACTGCAGTGGACAGGGCGCCCTGGAGGCTGCCAGGCCCAGCAGCACACACCATCTCCTCGGGACGGGCAGCACAGCCACTCTGACCAGCCCAGCCCCACTGCAAAAGGCCCTGGACCCAGGTCTCAGTGAATCACCCCTGGGCTTGACCAGCCTTCCCAAGCTGGACCAAGTGCGCCCTCTTCTGGTCAAGAGGTGTCACAGCTAGTTGGCTGCTCCAGGGTCCCCTCCACACTCATCTACTCCACAAACACTCGCTACACAACTGAGCAAACACAATGTCCCAAATCAGTGGTTTCACTCAGATACTCTCTGTCTGAAAATTATCAAGGGGGCCTCTTCCTCCTCAAGATTGCTGTCAACATCTGCCCAACTTCCCCTCCCTCCACGTACTAGGAAGGGGCTGCCCGCATCCCTCAGGTGGCCCGCCTGTGACCACACTACCCTCCACAAAACTCCACCATGCGCCCAGCGTTAGACCGGGTGCTTTAGACACAGCACCTGGGCATTTGTCCCACCTGAGAAGCCCCAGCCACACAACTCATCTGCTGGTTCCACTGAGGTGGAAACAGGCTCAGAGAGGTTAAGTGCCTTGCTCAAGGTCACAAAGCTCTTGAGGATGGAAATGAACCCCGAGCCCAGATCACTGTAACTCCAGACCACATATGGGGCCTCCCAGACACTGCCTGGCCACACACAGACCCCACACAGCCCCCTCCGTGGGCACAGACTCTCGGGAAGAAGAGCCGAGAAGCCCCGGGACTGTGGGACCGACCCAAGCATGTGAACGCACAGCAGGAGGCCAGGAGGCCAGAGCCTCTGCACAGACCTCAGGGCCTCCTCCTCGCAGGAAGAGCGCCAAAGACCTGCGTGTAAACCCCTGGGCTCCAAACTGAAGCCAGAACGTGACAATGGCCCCGCATAACTCTATCAGCCTGAAAAGAACACAGGTCGGGTCAGAACTCCAACTGGCCACTTAAAAATGACCCCAGTGATTCGGCTCACATCAGAGACTTTGCTGTGGGTGGGTTTCCTTTCTTCACCTCAGAAAGTGCTTCCTAGGGGAAAAGCTCAAAACAGAACTTGCAAATACAGTGTCCTGGGCAGGCTGGCTCCAGAACTCTGAGAAAAACAGAGGGAAGAAGAGACATTTATTAAGCACCAATGGGGTACCTAGCTCTGTGCCAGGGGCTTGGTGTTTTTCCCACATGATCACAGACACGGGTACGATGATGCCCTTTCCAGATGCGACGCCAGATGGAGGGCACAGGTCAGGCCAGTGGACCAGCTGCTCCCCAGCAAAGCTGGATGCGAAGCCATGTCACCCCAACACCAAAGCCATTTTCTTTCCAAGAAGCTTCAGTCCAAATCTCTTTGGCCCCTCCTACATAAGTGCTGTGCTAGGTGCCGAGGAGAGCGAGGAGGGCCACAGAGTACAGCTCAGAGGGGTTGGAGACAGGTTACAGGCAGGTGGGACACGCCTGTGACACTATTCACCTGTGCCGTTGGTGCTTGCTTACTGCAAGCCTGCATTACTTCAGTATACATTAAAATCAGTAAATAACAATAAAAAAACTGAAAGCCTCCAACAGGCCACCACAGTCCTCCTTGTGTGACCCCTGCCTACTTCCCCAGCCTCGGGCCCCTTAAGGCCTCCATGCTTAGAGCCAAGAATGCCCTTCCCCACCACCCCCTTTGCCAAGTGCACCACCCCTGCTTCTGAAGCCTTCACAAGCCCTCCCAGGCTGGAAGCCGTCCCTCCCACTGGGTTCCTGTAGCACTTATGTATCCGGCTGGAGGTCTGGCTGGGGTCTGGTCCTCACAGCCCTGGGCCCAGGATCCTGGGTGCCTCGCCACGCACCTGCGGCCCCTACCACAATGTGCGTGCCCTGAAGCCAGGGACCAGGTCTGTCTACCTCTGTACCCCCTGCATGTAACACAGCACCTGGTACAGAGCTGGCATCGCTCAGCACTCCACGGGAGTCTCAGAAGATGTCCCGAGTGCACGGGGCTCGGGCCTGGCTGCTTTCTTCTCCCTCTGATCGCTCTCTCCAGGGACCACATCCTCCCTGGATGCCAGCGTGTCTGGATGTCCTCAGTGCCCCCGCAGGGATACGGACTAGCATGTGGCGCCTGGCAAGGCAGTGCCAGGGAAGCACTGGGCTGAACGGACCAACGAGAACCCTCTCCTGAATGCATCAGAGAGAATTACAGAAATCCCCGAAAAGAATTGTTCCGCCTGTAACCCCCGACGTCACTGCTTTGAAGAATAACGCATCCCAGCAGCTTGGTCCTGAGAGTAACTAAAAAGAGCAGTTCCGCTCAAATCTTACCTTGAAGGTTTTATCCAGAGAAGCCGAGAGGAACATGTGGCTCTTTGAAAAGACGGGGCACCACTGGATGCTGCTGACGGGGCCCTTGTGGCCTCGCAGGTGGAAGAGCACCTTCTGGGAAATCTGGGTTTCCTTGTACGGGGTGCCCAGGTACGGCTGGATGAACTCGGACACTTGGGGGGCCGTGCACAGAGGGCGCGGAGCGCGCAGAGAGGGGCCCCGGGCCTCCGCGTCTTTGTTCTTGCCTGTTTCTGTGCTTAATGCTTGCGAGCGTCGCAGTCTCTTCGGGGTGTAGGGCACAATACAGTCCTCTCGCCTTTTCTTCTGAAGAGAGCTGCCACTCTTCCCCGGGGTCTCAGGTTTGGGTTGGGCACCGAAAGGTGGCTCGGGGGGGTCGTAAGTTCCCCAGGAGAGTCTCACCTGCTTCAAGCAGGCGGCGGCCCGGGGCACATGGCCAGCGGGAGTGTGGCTGGTCCACAGGGAAGGACGAGGAGGCTCGCTTGTGGGGAAGGTGACGTCGGGCTCTGTCCTGGGCCACTGTAGCCTCTGGCTGGGGCAAGATCCTGGGTCGCTCCTCCAGAGCCGAGCCAGTGGGAGACGCTGGCCGGCTGGGTCTTCACAGGAGCCGTGCTTTGTGGGCAGTGTGTCTCCTGTCCCGTCCAGGACTCCCGATGCGAAAGCCTGGCCACGAGGTTCTACCGTAACACAAGAGTCCTTCCTCTGGCCAGCGGCAGCAAAGCTTCCCGCAGGCTCGCTCTCAGCCTCGGAGTCTGAGTCATCATAAGCCACCAATGAAGCCATTGAAGACACTGTGTCCCGCTGTCCCTCGAGGGCAAACGACCTAAGACCAAAATCAGGTGTCAGAAAGCGTGCATGGAAGAATAGTTACCACCATGCGAAGTTAAGAGAAATCATGCCATCTAGCAAATCTAAGACAGAAAAAACCGTAAGAAGAAACACATAAAGCATGAGGGCTTTTCTATACATCAGGCATAATTAATTAGAAGGGGTCATTTTCCTATGGAAATATGGGAATAAATTTAACTCCCTTCCCCCCCAAATTAGCAAGATCTACATGAAGAAAACGAAAGCTTTATTGAACGACATAAAATAGGACCCAAGTACCTGTAGACACGATGCCTGGACAGAAAGACCCGGGACTTTAAAGATGCCTGTTGGTGCAATATACAGATGATGTATTATAGAATGTATACCTGACACTATATAAATTTATTAACCAATGTCACCCCAATAAATTCAATACAAAAGAAAAAAAGGAAGAGGAACCAGGAAGTGCCAGCCAAATGACCCAGATGCTGGCAACCTTTCCACCACAAAAAAAGAAAGCATAATTATGGGGTGTAATAGCGTTGTTAGCTAATGCTATGGTGGCACTCATATTGCAATATATTAATGTACCAAATCAGCACGTGTGTTCCTTAAACTTGCACAATGGTATCTTAATAAAAATTAAAAACGTAAACATAATAATTTTACAAATAAAGAAACCTTTGGAAGGGCAATTTGGGGAGTACCTATTACAAACGGAAACGTATATTGTTTTTACTGCAACGTCCCCACTATAGAACTGCATCCTACACAAATACCTGCATATGTTTTCAAAGACAGATGTACAAAGAGCCTGCAGCTTATTGGCCATTCAGTCATCAACAGGGATGAGGTTAGGTCTGAAAACCCTGAAATGGAAAGATCCACCAGGTGGGGAAAGCGTGCGACCCTCACCTCTGCCCTCTCTCTGGGCTCCTCCTTCCTTGTATTCTCTCTGGGACTCTCCCCCAGATACCTCATCTCCACTCGAAGCCAGTTGGAGTGACAGACCCACAAGCCCAGGCGGAGGGGCCCAAGGGTGTCATCCAAACCTGCCAGTTTCACTCCAACACACAGACTCACACAACAGGGAGTTTCCCCTCCCTAAAAAAATCTTTCCTGAAATTCTGAGCCATCATGCATGATAAAAAGGCCACCAGTTAGTTTCTAGAAGGAAGTATTCCATCTGGAGTTCATTTCTGTGCTGTTAACATGAACTCGCCTCAAGAGGAAAACAAGGATGCGGGAAACGCCCCGTCCCGGACAGCAGAGGGCGCGGTGGAGCAGCGTGGAAAACTTCAGCAAGGACCAACTTCTGACAAAGCCCAGTGTGCCCTCCCTCCTTAATACACCGGCTGAACGCCTCCTCCCCTGGGTGTGGTCAGGTCAGCGCCAGAGGAGTCCCTCTGGGTCATCAGTCAAGCCATTCCAGCCAGCCTGTCCCCCCTTAGAGAGGGATTTCACGTCCCCTGGAATCCAACACCCCAGCCCTTCCACGCCTTTCCCCCAAAGGGTGCCATTCACCCCAAACAAGCTAGGTCATCTGCCTCCTCCCCAAATCCCACCCTCACCTGCAGCCCCATCCACACACCAAGCCATCCTCTAAAATAAACTTCTAAAACAGGCCGGCCCGTCTCAGATGGAACTAACATAACATAGTGGGCTAACTACACATTATGGAACTGAGCACTGTGGATGACTTGGCACTTCTGTTGTCTAAATACCCATCTGATTAGACATCTCAACGCCTGTGCACAGCATCCCATTCCTTCCTGTCAAAGGGAACCCAGCAGGTTCCCGCCACCAGGGCTGGGCGCCTGTACTTGGCCATTAGGATGGATTGCCACCCACCCAGCCCTCCACAGTGGTTCCCTCACAGAAACCCAAGGCCAGAATTAAAGACGAGGTCTACCGCCAAAGATCAGACAGCAGTGGGATTGGGGGGCCTCTAGCCCCGCTTCCTAACAAGGCAAGGCAGCGAGGATGGCATGAACGCAGGAGGGTGGGCGGCAGGGATGCCAATACTACCTGCTTCGTGTGCCTTTCATTCGTTCAGTAAACACTGACGCAGAACGGCTACTCGCCAAGCCCCACACTAGGCGCCCAGGGAAACGATGCCCTGCACTCACCATGCTCACATGCCAGTGGGGAGAAAGATCCTAATCAATGAAATGGGGGGTGTCAGGGGATGAGAAATCATAAGGAGAGAAGTAAAGAGACGGGAATAGAGGTGGCAGTGGGTGTGGGGGTTCATTGAGGGAGGCTGAGGCAGGTCTAGGACAGGTGACACCTGAATAATGCTCCGAGGAGGGCAGGGAGCAGATGGCGAGAAGCAACAAATACGATCAAAGCGGGTCAGAGAGAAGGGAACCAAGATGACTCGAAGAAAAGAGGCAAAAACGGGGAGCCAGTGGGACAACCAAATTTTAGAAGAATGTTTTTATGTTTCTAAGAATATGTTTTTATGTTTCTAAGGCAGTGGTTCTCAACCTTCCTAATGCCGCGACCCTTTAATACAGTTCCTCATGTTGTGGTGACCCCCAATGTCATTCTTACAAATTGAACATAAGTAAAGCATAGTGATTCATCACAAAAACAATATGTAATCATATGTGTTTTCCGATGGTCTTAGGCGACCCCTGTGAAAGGGTCGTGCGACCCCCAAAGGGGTCGCGACCCACAGGTTGAGAACCGCTGCTAAGGCAAAAGGGGGGGGAGGAAATTTTTTCATGGAAAGACGGGGTGATTACACAAAGAGGAAGAGGTACAGCTAGAAGAAAAGGAAAGCTCACGGGAGAAACGGAGCGGGGCGTGGCAAGGACCCTCAGCAGCCCGGCAGCTGCCTGAGGACAGGAGTTTTCGTGTTTTGCTCACTGTTGGGTCCCAGCACCGGATGGGAGGGGCACAGAGAAAGTAAAGACACAGGAGATTCCCATTCAACAAGCATTTCCCGGTTGCCCTCTCTGTGCCAAGCTTTCTGTTGGGTCTGATGTTGGGCCAGAGACTAAACGCGAAACACGGATCCTACGCCGGAGGCCACAGACTAATGAAGAGAACAAACAAGATACGACCAGAGCTGGGTTTTGAAGAATGAACAGGAGTTAGCCGAGCTGTCAAGAGCGAGAGGTAAGGGTGATCCCGAGCACGGCGCGTTCGGAAAGAGCCTGCGATGAAGGGGAGGACAGCGGCGGTGAAAGGTCCGAGACAAGGGGCGCGGAGAGCTCGCGCCGCTGCCGGGCAGCACCCTCCCGCCCCAGGCCCGCCGCTCACCACACACACCGGAAGCGCTCGGTCCTCCCGGAGCCGGTCTTCCCGGAGCCGGTCCTACCTGCACTCCGCCCCCGAGTCGTGTTCCGCCAGCGCCGAAGCATCCAACCAATCAGCGGTGGCCTCCGCGAGAACAGCCAATGACGGCGCAGCCTGGCCGGAAGTGCTTCCGGCCGGACGGCGTTTCCACGGACGCTTAGGAGACGCCTGGACGCGGAACCGGCGGCGCCGACAGGCCCACATGGGCCGGTAAGTGAGGGAGGAAGGGAAGGAGGGAGGGAAAGAGGAAGGAGCGGCGAGCGATGGCCCG